TTTTTTTTTTTTTTTTTTAATGTTTGTGTGGCCGATTTGGTGTTGATTTTTATCGCGATTCGAGTGCTTGTTGAATCTGATTTTGATTAACAGAAGATTATTGTGGGGGTATTTTATCTGCTTCCTGCTACATTTCAGCCTATCTATAATGTAGTGCTCAGTCGGTAGGGGCACATAGATTTGGTTTCTTAAACTGGAAATATACATTTCTTGCTTAAATAGTCGCCTATGCTATTGGTTGTGTGCTCGCATACATGGCTGTATGTCTATCTGTATTCTATTCTTGGTGAAGCATGTCAGCTTGTATAACTTAATTTGCCCGGTTCTATTATGGTTCTTTTGGCTGACGGTGTTGATTTGTTCGTAGTTCTTACGCATAGTATCCTCACGTCTTTGATATTTTTCCAGGTCCCAACTTGGACGACCTTTTTCGGAAGACAGTCTGGTACTACAACCGGTTGGTTATTCTTACTCAGCCTACACTTTCTGACTACTTGCTTAATCATAAGAAGGTACATCAATAGGACCAATGTGTTTGAGAATTGGTTTATAGAATTCTAATCTGGATCTACTGTGTGCACACTTTGAAGATATCATTCCATTCCATTTTATGTTTATGGTAACTCTTTGTTAGGGCATGTGTTTGTTGGTGTTTTATGGCATTTGAGATTAGGCTTAACTTTTGGCTGTGAATATGACCTTCTTCAAGTGTCATGTGGTTCTCATTCTGTCAATTCATGTAAAACCTGAGCTCTTTTTTGAGGTGATTTGCAAGTTTGATGCGAAGAGTGTACCATACATTTGCTTGCCCCTGTTATATTCCCCTTGTGGTTTCACACCTGATAGGAGTAATGTATTACGAACAAACTGAAAAAGAAAAGAAAACAAATATTCTCACCTAGGATTCAAGTATATAACAGGTATGGGTTTTCCATCAAAAAGTTGAATGTGGCTTGGTATTTGAATTACTATATGTTGTATATATGCATACCTGTCTTGGAAAGTCCATGATTGGATAGGTGCCATGTTGGTAATCTCATGGCCCTTTGCTGCACTACCTACCAAGTGAGTGGACGAGATAACCTTCTTCTCAAAGTAAGCTTTGTTTCCCTCAATCTGCAGCATAAACATAAAACAAATCACATTTTTCGCAAATGAAATTTTATAAAGGACAACAAAGGCCTCATCAAAATAAAATCTTGGTACAAGACTACATATATAAA